CTTCTTGCTCCTAGTAGTAAGGCCAGGAGCCCCTAGTAGCTTCTTGTTCCTAGTAGCTCTCCTCGCCTGATGGCCTCTCTTTCCTTCTCCAACTCTTCTCTCTCCTGGCCCCGTAGAAGGAAGCGCGGCGAAGCGAGCGGCGAAGCGAGCCGCGAAGCGAGCTTCGCGGCGTAAACCGAACCCTTTGGCTTCCTGGGTGTTTGGGGGGGTCTCGGCACCTGAATCGAATCAGAGGGGGTTGGAAGAAAATCTGCAACTGGAGAGTATCTATGTTTGGAACTTCAGGAGTAGACCAAGCTCCGGACCCCCAAGGACGCGACACGGCGATGACAACATGACAACGATGACATGAGATGACCCTCCAACTAGGTCACCTGAGCCGCGGCGTTCGAAACAAGACAACGAGGAGCGTAAGTCAGTTCACACGTGTTCACACCATTGCACCCCGGCGGATCGAAGTTCATCCGGCAAAACCGAAGAGTTCCGTGCCTTTGAGTACTTCCTCACGATGATTTGATCAAGATGGATGTGAAATAGAAGGGCGTCCACCACCGCCGTGCCGAAGAAAACTGACCTACTTCGAAAGAAAGCCTCTTCATGTCCTTCAGCCCTTAACCTGCCTTTTTGAGCTTCTCACTCTCAGCCGCCGGATCCACCGTAGCAGCTCCACCTCAGCCATTGGAGCTCTGGAGACAATTGCTTTCCTGTAGTGGTCATTAGAGTGTTCAGCCATGACTATCATTTTACTCAACGAGTAAGTGGGGTCCCAGCCTAGCCTTCCGCGAAAAAGAATAAGAGCTCAAGAATTAAGAACAGCACACATCATCAGGCACCTCCGTTGCGGCGGCGGCGATTGTGCTCGATCTGGTAGCCGCGGCCAAACCGAAAGCAGTACTCATTGAAGGAGATGGTACCTGCTTCAGCGGATGGTATCGATACAATGTATTCAACATGCCCCAAATGCCACACTCTGTTCCAACGCCTGTCCCCCCCACACTCGTGCCGCTTCTCGCTGGAAACGTCGCCCTGGGCGGTGTCACCCACTCCGCCTGAGCGGTCGGTGTCCAGTTGATGTCGCAGGCGTTCAGCGGTCTTCTGCACCTCCTCTTCCTCGTGCCGTGCGGAGCAGCAACGCTTTGAATCCTTCACCCGGCCCCACACGCTTCTTTGGTGAAGACTGTCGATATGTGTCGATATGTATTTTGAAGGCTGTTCGACCTTTGGATGGACTCAAACTCACTCCATGTGAAGACCTCTTTAAAATCATCGAACAAACAACTAAGCCCCCTCCCACCTCGGAGATGCTCCTAGTGGTCCTAGCGCCATCAAGCCACTTGGTGAGAAAGAATATTGAGTGCTACAGGAAAAGATCAACTCTACGCGGGGTCAGGCATGGAAAGGCCGAAAGTTGACCCGCTTTCGATGGTCAAAAGTTTGCTTCGAACAACGGGGAGAGACATTGCAGCCAAGCCAAACCTCCCTCTCCTTCCGCATGGAGCGCTCTCAGACAGACGCCTCTCCGTCCTCTTTCAGCCCAGGTGCCGAAGCTCCATCTCCACAACTTCGGGCGAAAACAGCGCAGGCCTCGCCGATTTTGCTTGGGCACGGAGAGGCCTTGCCTCACCTCCCAGGGGCCACCAAATGGAGCAGGGATCGTTGGGCCACGTTCTGTTCGACCAATCCTGGCCCTTCGGGCTCGTCGGTTTTTGGTCTATTGATCAAGCGTATCCGGACAGTTAGAGGGGTAGAAACGAACAAAACCATCATGCCCAAGCTCCCAAAACCACCCCCAACATCATGCCCCACATCCAATCCATCCTCAGCCAATACCCGTACAGCATGTAAAATACGACCCTTGAAAACTGTCCGACCCTCCTACTAAACCCTAAACCCAACTATTGATATCACCTCCCACCTCCCACCCCCCCCGTTTTTTGCGGAGCATCGACACAAGGCCACCGGCTCTTGAGCACCGGTGGCCACGGGCGCCTCTTGTGCGTCGATCTCGCCAGAGTTGTCGGTGTCGGCCGCTTGGAACTGGCGCCGAAGCTCCTGGGTCGCTCCGCGCTCCGCGTCGCACGACGAGGAGCGACACGCGGTGCAGTCGTGACCGGGGTTTGCTTCGCTTAGCATGCAAAGAGTGTTACTTTCACTGGCACAAGCATTGCTTGGTGGAAGTTGCAGGTGAAGTTTCTTCAGAATCCGGTTTTCAACCCCAATCTGGCGATGTTCACTGAGTCTCGCATCAAAACCCCACTTCAATCTATTCTTCCATCCAGTGTCGATTCGCCGGGCGAGCTCGCCCAGCTTCGTCGCTTCGTCTCGAAGGGCCGAAGCGACATCCCCACACCCGCCACAAAGCATCGGCCAAGCCGCGACATCGCGTGGGACGAACTGTTCATTTCGTCCCCCAACCCGAGCAACCCGAGCAACCCGAGCAACCCAACCCAGCAGTCCAAGCATCCGCCACCACCTCTGGATCGTACATCGTCTCCGGTGCAGGGGCAGCCATGGCGGATCTGGATCCTGTTGTTCAAGTACTTACTGTGTTGCTGGTTTTTAGCGAAGTAGGGCGGCAAGGAGTGCGTAGGGCACGGAGCAAAGCCGCTTGCGCTGGTGTATAGGTGTATAACCCCTCCGTGATCGAGCGAAATGAGCTTTTCTTCGTGCTGAAAACACGGGAGGCACTTGCAAAGATCGACCAGGACTTTGGCCCGCCATTCCCTTGCGTGAGTTGTATACCATGAAGTAGAGCACCACAGCCACTCCGAACCTTTTTCTTGCGAAGGCTGACTCGTCGAAGGAGGGCTCCTGGTTACCCTGCATGCCTGAATTTGCCATCTGCAAATTGCGAGAAGATCTGAATTCCCTTTGGGAAGTTCTTCCACCTTCTTGTTCAAATTCGGAATCTCTAAATGAGACTCCACTGGCGCAAGCATCGTTCGACCTCTTCCAATGTCATGTGTTCCGTGGAGCTCTCCAGGCTTGACATGAAATCCCAAGTCCACTGCTTAGAAGCAGTGGACCGAGCATACTGTACAATGTACATCAGTGTACTAGATATCACAAGCCAGCTGACGCTGACGTTCCTCAGGCAGGTAGGCAGAGATCGGCATGGATTTTTCGGCATCTCTGGGATCCCGTTTCTTTGGAGCTTCGGTTTGGAGCTACGCTCGTTGGATGGTTTTTCACATCGGAATCATCGTGTTGAGTGGCTTCGGAATCATCGTGTTGAGTGGCTTCGACATCGCATTCTGGACTCGTGTCGAGAACCGAAGATGAATGGGTGTCCAGGACGCAGGATGACTTGTCCATCAATCAATGACGCCGTTTGCAGCACATGTCCTTTCCAAGAGGTGTTGCACCTGTCACCAAAAAGGCTTCAAGAAGTCGCTGCATCATGTTACATATTGATGACCACCCAAAACTCTTGAAACATTATATATAGAGAGAGATAGAGAGAGAGAGATAGATAGATAGATAGATAGATAGATAGATAGATAGATAGATAGATAGATAGA